CCCCAAAACCCCAAAACCCCAAAACCCCAAAACCCCTCAAGATAAGCATAGATGATTTGATTGATGAAAAATAGACGTTGATAATTGAAATTTAAATATAATCAATCATTCGATAAATAAATATGCACAAATAATTAGCTTCTTCAAATAAAAAAACAACAGCTTCTGGGGTCTATGCCAAGGCACAGGAGAACCTACTGAGAAGCATTCAAAAGAATAGGAGACCTGCTAATGATGAGAATGATAGAAGCAAGTTTCAACTCTCGCCTGATGAGCCAATGAATCTCTTCAACAAATACTAGGAATCTAAAAATCCCTCATTCTGCCAAACATCTGATATTTCTTGATAATTCAATGGGAATCAATCTCTTGTGGATGGTAAATCATAAATTAGAAGTAATTTTACTAATTCTACTCATTAGAGTAGGATCTTAAGCAGGCAGCCCAAGGAAATAGAGGAATTTCTAGAAGGCACTAAAAATTTTTATTAGAACAACCAAATTCATCCTTTGCAAACAGATAATAGACATATTAATGCAAAGGACATATAATTTTCTGCAAATGGGTTAAGAGATAACCAAAACGTAATAAATTTTCAATAGAAACCTACAACCATCTTTTCAAATAATTCATGCACCAATACTTAAGCAAAGTACTCAATCACATCAAGTCATAAAAAGCAGGGACCAACAAGTAGGATTGATAAGAAACTTTGCCCTGATGAAGACACTCAAGCCTATAACACTTTGCTAACTTATAAATAAGAAAAAGCTCCATCCTCTGATAATTCAATAGGCTCTTCATTATCTGCATCTCCATCAGAAGCTAGCACGCTCTAAAAGCACACAAATGAAAACTAAAAAAGCAGCAAGGTGCTAAATCCCTTCAGACTCAATGAATATCAAAGTTTTTCGATTCCTCAATCAACTTAATCTCAGCATCAAAGCAATAACAAACTTATGAGCGACATTAAAAATATGTCAACCACAATGAACAAAAATGCAATACTAAGTAGATAAAGCACATAGTTTAATAATACCAATAATAACTAAAGCTAGAGTGTTTAAAATAAGCCCCAAACAATAAATAAAAATGAGAAGTATTAGGTTTTGGCTCTGAGTGAGAGTAAAAAGCTTAGTAATTAAAAGCACATGTAAATGCCTTTTAAATAAACAAGTCAAAATATTTAGAATTAATAAATATAGCAAAAGCCTCCTTAATCACAACTAATTTCTTTAGAAAATAAAAGACTCCAAAATAAGCTTGAAAAAACTCTCAATCAAGAAAATCACCTTTATTCTGTTCGACAAAGTGTTTTGCAAGTCTCTGCTTCTAAAGACTAGTCATATTCAAGAATTAATCAATAAGCATTAGCTTCTCAAAGAGGTATCAATCCTGTTAAAACTTCAACTTAAAATTTCTAAATCGCAATGGCAAGACATAGTAAGCCAGAGATTATGTAAAATTCATCAATAGCTAAGTTGAAATCCAATTCAAAGATAAGTCTTAGTATTGCAATAAACAATAACATAAATTATTAGTAGCTACCCAAAGTCTAGGATAAGCCTTAGGCTAAGAAACTTAGAGATGATTCAGATGAAGAAACTATTGATTCCTAGGAGATGTCTCAATCATTGATTCATAAAGAAATGTACCAAAGTAAAATGGAAAAAGAAAGAAAATCAATTGATATTCACTAAAGCAATAAAATAAATATAAATAAGCTGCCGAGCCAAGGATCAAATGGTCAATTATTTTCCTTTAACGAAGGCCTAATTTCGTAATAATCTCATTAAACAAGTCTAAGATAAATAGCTAACACTAACTAGAATAATGATAGTACATCAGCATTATTGCTTAAACATAGTGTAGTTGACACAAATAATGTCTTAAAAAATAATGCCAATTATAGATCAACATCAAGTGCAAATAAAAGAGCACGATGGGATTTATCTGGAGGAAAAAGCACACTACAAAACTCTTTCAGGAAAAATAGTGATTCAGAAATGATTGTTCATCCTCTGCTTCAAAAAATAAATGACATGGAAAGCAACGAGAAAGAAAAGAAGTATGACTTGCTTCATAAGCAATATCTTGCCATTAGGAAATAGCTGAAAGACTATAAAGCTACAACTGGAGAATCTAAAACTCAAAGGAATGACTAATATGACGAGGACGACGAGAATTAAAGATAGTCCTCATACTTACTGAGTCCAGCAAGAACTTCAAATTATTCATAAGATCCAGATAATGAAAGCTAATATTCAAATGTAAAACTGAAACTTAAGTCTAAAACCAACAACAAGCATAAAAAGATTGAGGAAAGCTCCCTTTATAAAGGTTATCATCTTACATCTTAAAAGTAACATAGAAGAAAAAGGAGCAACTCTTAATTCAAGTCTATTGATGTATAGTTTGTTGCTAATAATTTGAAGTCATCCTTAAAGCAAGAAACTTCTCCTTCAAATAAATTTACTACTGCTCTTCAATCTATTGAAAAGTTTAAGAATGAACTTGATCATCATACCATCTCTAAATTAAAGAACAAGCTTTATAAGGAAATATAAGCATTAGAACAGTTAAAGCTTGATGAGGTTAGTAAAAATTCTGATTGCAATAGCAGTACTATGAAATAAATAGGGGCAATGAAATCATAAATCTAAATAGGATTGAGAAAGTTATCAATCAATAAGTAAATGCTTGAAAATGATAGCTAAATATAGGCAATGTGCTTAATGACTCAAAAGAAAATGAGGAAAACATATGATGATTCCAGAAAGAGATCAATTGCTCATGAAAACAGCAAGGAAAAGTAAGTCAGCAGAAAGTAACCTTCATAATCCTAAGTTTCATTTGTAAATGTCAATTCCTACAGTGACTCCTCTGATTAATATCACGAATGTCACTCGAGAGACACTAGGAAAAGTAGAACTCATACTTAAACTAAAAAGTCATAAATTCGAAACTAAAGTTGTAGTAGTGGGGAAAAATCTAGCATATATGATATGGCTGAAGGTGATGATGATAGTTTTTGCAGTTGTTGCAAGCATGAAAAGCAAAGACAAACTATGAGATCAAATCACAAGCCTAAGAAAGCATGGGTCGAATTTTAGAGAGAAGCTACATCAGAGAAGAAAAAAATGTTTAATAGCAAGATTCTTAAGTAGTAAACTGAAAAATTATAAGAAAAATCTAGAAAAATAATCAATGATCACAGAGTTGATAGAAGTTCAGTTAAATATGGTGAATAAAGAAGGGAAAAAAGCTGAGATTTTGATAAAATTAATAAGAGTAATACTGAGAAAAATAGAGGTAAGGATAGGGAAAGAGGAGAAAGACAAAGATAAGAGAGAGATAATGCTGATCAATCAACCTCTAAATAGAAAAGAAGATCCAATTCTAGACATAATAAAAGTGCTCATAAGGAAAAAAGGTAATTAGACAGCACTCCATAGTCTATTAAAAATAGAGGTGTAGGTCAAAGCTAGTATTAGCAAGTGAATCCATGGCTTTCCTCGTAAATAATTAAGAATATACCCAATCCTTATGGATAATCTTTTGATTCACAAAATGCCCTTTGGTAACATCAGTTAGCTTTTACCTCCAGTCTACAACAGCCATAGATGATCTAATCTGGATTTCTTCCCAGTTAAAATTTCTAGATGTTTTTGCCAAACTAGCAATAATTATTATAGAATAGTGCTTTATCAACAGCACATTAAATCTATCCATAAACCTCTACAAGCTCCAATTTGATGCCATAAATTAATTAGAGTTTATAATTGGGAAAATTAGCGACAAATAACTCCACTACTAACTAAAATAGTCTTTAACAGCAACTGCTTAACCAATAAAACTAACTAAATAATCTCATCTAATAGCAGTAAAATCTATTATGGCAAGCAAATAATTCTAATCAATTACCAAATAGTGATTAAACATAAGCTCTCGAATCTCATAAAGAGTAAATAGAAGCGATTGAAAAGCTTATAAAGCAAGCTAAATCTAAACTTGAGCACAATTTGATAAACAATAAGAATTAAAGTTGCAAATTCTCAGATATTAATCCAGTCTTATCTTAGTCTTCTTAAAGCAAATTCAACTACCAATACAGTAAGGGTTCAAACCTCGATATTGAATCAGGAACACACTACATTGAGGAAAGAACTGTTGATGGCAAAAAGAAGAATTCTAGAAATGAAAAGAATGCACCTCTAAGTACGTATAATTCTAATCTAGAAAGAAGTAGCTAAAATAATATTCTATTTAGAACTCAGAATTCCAATTATAGTGAAAACAAAGCAATGCAAAATGAAAGTGTAAAGGGTACTAATGATATGAATAGTGAAGCAAAGTTTTAAAGGAATCTTAGCCATTTTTAAAGAGATTTTTTAAATCAGAGGAGATTTTCAGATTAAAGTGAAGCTAACCTGGATTCTAAATTTGGAACTAATGCAAAAGAAACAAAAAGATAACTTAATTTTAAAGAATAGGAATAATGTATTCAGAGTTATCAAGAGAACAAAGTAAATACCCGAATAGAAAAACAACATAATGGTGGAAAGCATAACATTCATAAGAAATAAAATTAAAAAAGTTCTCAAAATCCACCTGACATGATTTCTAGTGTAATGAATCAAAGCATTAGCTCAATTACTGATACTTTTAAGGTAAATAACACTCTAGGGAGTACAAACACTGAATGTACTCCACACCATAATGATAGAAATAGTCATTAATTAGAGTAATTTGAGTAAAGACTCATGAATTGGAAGAAAAAAGAGAATAATCATTTTGATGAGAACTAGCTTTAGTAAGATTATCAAAAGACTAACTATAATAGCAAAAGATAGAATAGAGAAAAATAATAGTAAAACAAGCTAGAGTAGTAAAATCCCCAGGAAGACACAACTCCTAATGCCAAAGAAGTTCTATGGATAGATTTCAATGAAGGAAAGTAACCTAAGGGTAGGCCTTAATCAAGAACATCATAGAGCCAAAATAAAGATAATTTCCAGCAAAAGAAATCTATTGACAATTATCCATAGTCAATTCCAGAGGAACAAGATGATGACTTTTACTCTCCCAACTAAAACTTCAGTACATCTCAGAATAACAAGAATCTAATCATCGTCTAAAACAAGACATAGTGCACTGTTAATAACAAAAATTAAAATAAATCAAAACTTTAGCCCTCAGAGCAGATTTATTAAGATTAAGTGATATTTGCTTAAAAAGATACAAATTAACCTATGAAGGAATCATGGGCTATGGACTTCACTGATAAGGCTCAAGCAGATCAACAAGCTTAATCAATGTCAGATGCATTTAAAAATAGACTTCAATCAATGGAGTAGAGATTCAAAAAGTAAAAGGAAAGTAAGGAGAAAAAAGAATACTCAAAAGAAGAACTGCTAGAAAGGAAAAAAGAACTTTTAAAGCAGGCAAGATAAAAGATTTAATAAAATTAAGCTAACTTGGACTAAGATAATCAACCAAACTCAACAATCCCTAATGACATGAAAACTTAAGACTAAAATTAAAACAAAAGTAAAGATTAGTAAAAGAATAATAAAAATGGCAAAGTTGAAAATGTGCCAACACATTTGCTAAGTAGACTTTCTCAAGGGTAAAAGCCCGAGATAAGCAAAAAGGAAATGTTGAAGCTGACAAGTAAAAATTACGAGTAGTTACCAGAAATAAAGCAGAGAAAAGTAGAAGAAATTAAAAGAGAGGAACTAAAGAAAAGACTCGCTAATGTAAAGGAACTAGAAAAGAAAAGAAGGCAGATTGTGGTGAATAAGAGATTAGCTACAGCAACTGCAAATAACCCTAGTAATAAACCAAGTAATAAGACTAAAGAAGTCTTACCTACATCTAAAAATTGAATGATTTAATTAGAGACTCAAATTTTATGTAAATTGTAGCTATTTTTATGAAATTAATAATTACATTAAACTCATCTATCAATATTTATCTATCATTTAAACATTCTATAAGAATTCATTCATTTGATCTCCATGAACTCAAAGTATGTACATTTATCACTTTAACACTCAATAAGCATAACTTATGAATCTTCATAGGTCATTTGCTAGTCAAGTCCTTAGTCATCCATTGGGATTACATCACTCATCATCTTTATAGATACTTTGAGATATAACTCCTCTTCACATAATTCTCTTTACTCATTTTCACATTGTTCCCTATGTTCTAGTGCATACTTCATTATTCTGTTCATCACATCTTCGAGTTTGAAGTTATCACACTAAAAAATTATTACAAGATAAACTTTACTCCTAGATCAATATTTATACAGTTTGGTCTCTCACAGACAATCTACGATCCTTTTACTCTGTAGACATATCTTTTACAGATGGCACATATATAGAAGCTGTTATTAGTAGGATCATAAGTTTAGGCAAATTAATCAGCCTCTCTCTAATTAGTCTGCTCATACTTTTCATAATGATAGAGCTCATCAAACTTTGTCATTTCTATTAATTGCTAAGCTGCATAAGCATTGAGTTCATTGATAATCTCATCATACTCTTGATTCCATTCATCTACTGATAAATCATTATAGTTTCCTATCTCCTCCACAATATACCCATGCATTACGTTTTAGCTGACCATATCATTAAAGACCTCTCTCTCAATGAAGCCTGATTTTTTTTCTAATTAACTTATATTATATTTTATCCTTACTGCTCTCAGTAAGAACATTCATGCATTCCTAACGTTTCCTTTGAATGGCTGATCTTCTGTGATCACTCAAGCGAGTCATTACTTTCTCTTTGATAGTCTAAAATTAGTTTTCAGAAAAATTGTATGCGATTACATTCATAAAGTTTGGTCAGTTCACTGCCATCACACTTTATCTTTAGCCGTTGACTGGATTGATTGTTGAAGAAGAGTAATGCTAATTCTAGACATTACTCTGAGCATTGTGAGTTCCAAAATTCTGTGCTTATATAACTTAGATATCATCCATCTAGTAATCTAAAATTTTCAAACTTATGTTAATACCTGACTCCATTACTTTGTGTGGGAAATTAATTTGACAAATTAAAAATATCAGCTTAATTAAAGTTAAGAGTAAAGTGACTTTTGTTTGTGATGAAGTTAATAATTAAATATATAATCACAAACATATAATTAAATTAATATGATGATGAATTAGCTCTTCAAAAAGGCATATATGCTGTAAATGATCAGACCAAATCAAACAAATATGAGAGTTTTCAATCTATTAAACAATCAGCAATCAATGCTTTACTCTTAATATCTCTAACAGCAAACTTTGATGAATGAGATCATGATAAATAACTAAGTAGTAGATGAAATTTTAGAATCAAATGAAGATTAATAGGTTCAATATGATTGCAAAAAGAATAAAACAACCACTCAAGCTAGAAAGAAAAGAGAAAGAAGAAAGACTGGCAAAGCTATGAGCATCAGATGGAAATGATTGATACACTGAAAATCTTTTATTCCATTGATCATTACCTCTACTTACTTATTTAATTCTCAGCCTCTCAAATCAATCCGCATGGGGTTTTGGGGTTTTGGGGTTTTGGGGTTTTGGGGTTTTGGGG